TGAGCTTCAGAACCCTTACGCCGGGTTCTCCCCGGAGCTTCTTCACTCCCTCCGTTTCAGGTCCCCTGCCACTCAGTTCAGAGGCAAGATCGTTGACAGCTAAGATCGGCCGGATTGTGCATCATCATATATAAATAGAGAAAACTATTGCTAGCTACAAACAGGCATCATACCAACATATAGATTGACATTGTACCAACAAAAAAATGTATAGTGATGGATAAAAAAAAATACAAGAACTATTGCAACAAATGCTGAAAAGAACCTATACCTATAGATATAAGGGTAAAATACAAAACCTCCCCTGAAGGTTCTGACAATCATAAAAACCTCTCGTATAGTTTCATTTTAACAAAAACATCCCCTGGACTTTTGAGAAAGTCAACAAAAACCTTCCTTCCATCATTGTCCCAGACGGAAAACGTTAGATTGATGCACCAGTTTTTTCCAAATATCCATTCTACCCTTTTATAAATTATTTTACATATAAAATTACTGAAATTATCCCATTTTCACTCAACAAAAAAACATATTTCAGTAATTTTGTATGTAAAATTACTGAAATGATCATTAAAAGAGGTTTTTGTTGAGTTAAAATGGGATTATTTCAGTAATTTTGTATGTAAAATAATTTATAAAAGGGTAGAATGGGTATTTGGAAAAAACTTGTGCATCAATCTAACGTTTTCCGTCCGGGACAATGATGGAAGGGAGGTTTTTGTTGAATTTCTCAAAAGTTTGGGGGAGGTATTTGTTAAAGTGAAACTATAGGGGAGGTTTTTATGATTGTCAGAAACTTCAGGAGAGGTTTTTGTATTTTACCCCTAGATATAATTATCTATGCAGATTAAAAGATATATCCACAAAAAAAAAGATGTAACTAAAACCTTAGCACAAGTCACATATGAATATCTATAATTCGAAAATCTATACCATTGGTCAAATATGATACTAAGGCTCAATTTGGAAGAAGTACAAATACAAATATGTACAGTGCGAAACCTTATATTTTACATTATTTTGTATTTATTCTGTACATATTTACATTTGTAGTACTTCCAAATTGAGCGTAAGTCATCACTTCCAAGTAATCCACATATTCGGGAGGTAATAGTACTGCTCTCAGACTTAGATAAGGATTTCAACAACCTAACCGTTGGGTTTAAATATTCTTGGAGGCAGCTGGCAGTTTTTGGCTTTTTGATCACTCAACGTTGCCTTTTGCAAATTTGCCTAACAAAATCAAGGGTTCTAACCTTGCTACACCTAACTAGACCTTACTAGACCCAATTCTTATCTTTATCTCACCTGAGAGACTCTAGGTACATGGCTCTATACCAATATTTGGTTTTGTTTTTGCTGTTCCTTGTTAGATTTTCCAAGCTGATGTCCTCAATGATTAGCAATTTATCAGTGATAAAGAGCATCAGAGAGGATTAGGTGATGAAAAGCCAAAAAAAAAAGGAAAAAATCCGAGTGCCCTGGTGACTAGTGGAGTTTACATCTACGCCTCACAAAGCATGCCCACATGCATATATCAGCGTGCATTGAAAACATCTCCCATATTTATTATTGAGAGATGTTCATAATACATGGTTGGGATGTGATGTAGGGTGCGCTTTGTGGGGCACATATGTGAATTCTGATTAAGGATGAGCAAAAAAAATTGAAAAATCGGTTAATCAAATCAGTCAGTTTAGTTTCGGTTAACCAATATAGAAAATCGGCGGTTAACTGAACCGATCGGTATATATATATTTTTATATTATATATATATATGTTTATGTATATTATATATATTATATATATTATAAATTAATAAATATGCATTATATATAAATATATTTATAATATTTTATATATTTATAAATTTTTATTATATATTGTAAAAATTAAAAAACCGATGAACCAAACCAACAATTAACTGACTGGCTTCAATTTAATTCTGGTTACCGATTTTTCAATAACCAATAGTACCAGTTTGGTTCCAAAAAATGCCTCACAATTCGATTAACCGAACCATGAACAGCCCTAATCCTGACTAGTGAGTAACATATAACATGTGGTCAGCGTTGTAGTACACTTAATGCCAAAGAAGGGTTTAAGCTTTCGCAATGGAAGCCGTGAAAAAAGAAGAAAGAAGCAAGGTAGAGATAGAATATGTAAATGGGGTGCCAACACTGAAAAGAAGTAAACATGCCAGAGATATTCCATTGGCAGCTGTTAGTTGGGTTGAAAGTCAACTAGGCCCAATTTTAGGTTAATTTCGTCTTTATCAATCAAGGCTCAACCCAAACTTAACCCAACACAATGTAGGTTGGTCAAGTTTAAAAGAATTTATGTATATATTTTTATATATTTATCTTTTATTAAGTTTTATGGCTTAATTAAAGAGTATAATTGATTGAAAATATGTAAAAATTTTATTTAAAAATATACATATACATATTTTATATAAATATACAACACATATTCAAGTATTTACTCGTGCAGGCTCAGGCTTGTGTTGAGTTGTGCAGGCTTGGGCTACTTGGGACCTCAACTCAAGCCCAACCAAAATTCAGGTCAGGCCTGAATTTTCTAGGTCAGGTCCAGCCCATAGTCCAGAAGCTTTGGCCCAACTTGTGCGAATACAGGTTGGATTGGACTTGCGCTACCTGAGACCTCAAATCAAGCCCACCCCAAATTTAAGTCAAAGTCGAACCCAGGCCCCGCCCACAGTCCAAAAACTTCAGCAATCGATGCAAAAAACCAGGTTGAGTGAGGCCGTGTTTGGATATCCCCCGAGTTGCACCCTTACTCGACAAGATCACACTGCGCCCCACAAACTTCCCACATGAATATCTCAGTGTTCATTGAGAACATCTCCAAAAATTGTTAGTGGGAGATGTTCTGTGGGGCGCAGATGAGAATGTACATGCTTATTCTTGATAGGTTAAACCCGAACCTTTTGTGCACGTCTGTGTCTGACTGTCTGTGGCATATTCAAAGTGGTCCCTCACGGTATGTCGAAGACCAAGAGTAGTACAAGAAATAAAAGTCATCGGGCGGGCGTCTCGATTGATCAATCCATGCCATAGAGCTCTCATGGTTATCTCAGAAGCTCGCTCCCATCTTCTTATCGTCCTCTTCTTCGGCTACCTCTGCAACTTTTGCTCTACTGACAATCCTGTAAATTTATCCACATCTAGCAGTTGTCCTTCCTCCTCTTGCGGTGGCAATAACAGCGTCACCATAAGGTACCCTTTTTGGCTGAAGGATCCTGCCGTCGACATCGACTTCAGCTGCCGGCTCCCGGGCTTTGGTGTCTCCTGTAGCAAAAGCGGGAAGTCCGTCCTTAGATTCTCTAACGACGATTACTACGTGCAAAGTATCAATTATTCTCAGAATGCCCTCACCGTCGTCAACGCCGCCCTCAGTGAACAGAGTTGTCCGATACCACGCAAAAACGTCAGCTTAGAAGATTCACCTTTCTCCAGCTATGGCTCCGACAATAAGGACCTCATCTTTTACTTCAACTGCTCTTTGTATCCTTCCCATCCTACACCGGTGAAGCCTCTCTCCTGTCCGGCAAGCGAAAACCGTGAAGCAAATCTCTCGTTTGTGTTTGTTAGAGGCGATGACGGTGGTACGGGGTTGAACCCACCGGACTGGAATGGGAATTGCCAATCGACCGTGGCGGTTAAGGTCGCTGCTGAAGTTATGCCCGTTAGCGTTGGCGACATCAGCGAGGCGTTGCGAAATGGGTTTCGGTTAAACTGGAGTCCTAGTAGAGTTCGTGGGGACTGCAAGCAGTTCAGTGGGTGTTGCTGGTCTGAGGATATGGCCGCCTGCTCTTGCTATTCTTCCTCGGATGATCGACATAACGGCACTGACTGTAATAAAGGTACGTTACTTTTCATTTGGTCAATCTTTCAATAGAACATTCCAACAACAGAGGCTTAGGTTACATCTGCGGGACCGGATCCAGTAGGCATAATAAAATAAGCACGTTAAACGAGCACTTGATTAAAATTTTAACAACAGTCAAAAGTGGGTATTAACGGACTCCGGATGTCCTGCCCACGCTTACCCACAATACACTATGTAGAGGATGAGATGTTCTTCATGTGTGGCTACAATTAACGTAGACAAAATTCTCGTGGGTAGGAGATTCAGACTTTAATATGCTTATTTTGATGTGCCTACTAAATCCGGTCTGCACATTTGGGGCCCACAACGTCTCACAGTATTCCTGCCGTGTATCAGAAACAACAGAGGCTTAGAAATTCCACAACACACACGTGTATTTATTATATAAATAAATTAAAGGTGCAGGCTGAGCTGAAAATGATCACCTTATCCTCCAAAAACAATGTGTCAATTGGATGGTTGATAAGAGGTCTAGATCTCCTATTAGTTGTAGCGGTACAGATTCTGCCCATCTGTATAATCTGCTCTGTTGGAGAACATTCCAGTTCCTTAAATTGTTCTGTATTTTCGGGTCTCTGGACCTTGTGTGCCATTAAATTGTAAATGTTTTCTCTATTACATAAAGGTCTTCTATTTTTTGAGAGATGATGTAAACGGTGCAACTAGTCATAACTCCCAATTTGATCCTTCAGTACACGCATAGGAGCCGTGACAGAGCTGAGAACATGTGGATGTTTTCTTTTTCCAATTACAAGGATACACAGAAGAAATTTCCAATAGAGTCAAGAATAGAACCTTTTAAGATGCCATCAGTCCATCATTATACGAAAAACATTGCAGCTATCAACTTTTCTTCCAAAGGGAAGCTTCTTGTTTTCACACCAGAGGAATGCTGACCCTATACCAGATTACCAGAAAACACCCAGAAACATTAATTTTCATCTGTATCTGGGCATGGTTATATTGGCGCCCTTTCACTCTCTGGACTTATAGCCAATTAATGCATGAACTTGACTTTTATGTTTCTAGGATGCCTGAATGGGTTGACTCCCATAAGGAGTCCTGCTCCTGCTAATTAAACACACATAACTTGGTTGCCAAATGACCATTGGCCCTACCATAGAGAGCTTGCTACGCTGGTTTGATTTGCACCTCTTATTTGAAGGGGTGTTGACTATTTGGTACCTTCACTTAATTCTTTTAAAGAAAATCATTCAAACTAAAAGCTTAAGTTGTTAGGTAAGCTATTCAAATAGGTTTTTATTCTCTAACACACGTTACACATAAGTCTATGGGACTTGAAACGTGGACAAGCACAGGCCCACCCATACCTTATGCTGAAATTTAATTAAGTACCAAGGGGCGCAATGAGAATCAAATACTAGACCACTTAATTAAACAAGCTCCCATACCATTTCAAGCTATTAGGTGAAATGGTATGGAATAAAGGCTATTAGGTGAAATGGTATGGAATTAGCTGAATAGGTTTTCATTCTCTAACAACCTTCACCTATTTGATTTGATATTCTGCAGGCGGGCTTTGGAATAAAGGCTCACATAGCTTATTAGTGCTGATTGGTTACCCTGGTAATCATCCCTACTCTTCAGCATTCTAATTAAGCTCATTCCCATATTGATAACTACTACTAATTATGTTAATCTTCTAACATTATTTGGTGTTTGGTTACAGTTGCATTTGTCCTTGGTGGAATGATACTAATGGCTACTCTCTGTTGCTGCATACACCATAAGAATGTTAAGTTGTTCTCATTTCACGGTTCAATCTTCCCTTGGAGAAGGAGAATACAACACGAAGAAAATATTGAGGTATTTCTGGAGAGCTACGGATCCTTGGTTCCAAAAAGATACAAATATTCAGATATCCAAAAGATGACCAACTCTTTCCAGGATAAACTCGGAGAAGGAGGTTGTGGTGCTGTGTTCAAGGGAAAGCTTGTAGATGGCCGACTCATTGCAGTCAAGATCTTGGGTATTTCTAACAGAAATGTCGATCTATTCATCAACGAATTTGCTTCCGTCGGTAGGACAAACCATCGCAATATCGTTACTCTTCTGGGGTTTTGTTTTGAGGGTTCCAAGAGAGCTCTCATCTATGAGTACATGCCCAATGGATCTCTTGAAAAGTTGATCTATTTCAAAAACCCATCTGCGGCATTTCCTCTTGGATGGGAAAATCTCTACCAAATTGCTCTGGGCATTGCTCGAGGACTGGAATACTTGCACCTTGGTTGCACAATGCGCATTCTACATTTCGATATAAAACCTCACAATATTCTTCTGGACAGAGACTTCTGTCCAAAGATCTCCGACTTTGGGTTGGCAAAACTTTGTCCGAAGAGAGAGAGTCTTGTATCAGTCGCCTGTGCCAGAGGGACAGCCGGCTACATTGCACCGGAATTTTTCTCTCCGAGCTTTGGAGGTGTCTCATACAAGTCTGACGTTTTCAGCTACGGAGTAATGGTGTTAGAGATGGTCGGAGGGCGAAAGAGCTTAGATTTGGGAGTTGAGAATAGCAGTGAGATATATTTTCCACATTGGATATATGACCGTATCAAGCAACCAAGTGGGTTGGGACTGGAGCGATTTGAAGATGGTTGCGAGGAGGAAGTAGCAAGGAAGATGATATTGGTGGGTTTGTGGTGCGTACAGATAGATCCAGTCAGTCGGCCTTCAATGAGTAGAGTAGTAGAGATGCTGGAAGGAAGCATTGAAAGCTTGCAAATACCACCTAGACCACCTTACTTTTGAATCCTCTTGAAGACCAACTTCTTCTTGGAAATTGGGAGAAAGTTGAGGCATGCATATTCATTGTACCATTAGGCTCAGCTGGAAAGAGTACAATTGCAAATATGTACTGAGTGCGAAGTTATGGCTTCTAGACACTTGTATATATAAACTTTCAACTTGCAATTCATTAACAGGGTCAAGCGTGTCAACAGTTTAGCCACTGGGTCGATCAAGTTCTGACCAAATGAGGGTTGAGGTTGGCCTAAACCAAAATTATGGCTGAGTGATGATTCTAATTGTATGATTGGCCGGTTTGCAAATATTGGAGTCTTTTGGCAAGTTATTTTTGAAATATCTTTTGGAAGTTTTGACAATGAAAGAACTTTTACATCAAGATCTTAACAGCATAAAAATCATTTGGTTAAAGCATGTCTTTCCACGCAAAGATGAATTGGAAAAAAAAAAAAGTAAACGCTCCATTTGGAGCTTTCTGAAGATTGCCCAAAATAGACTTTGCACGTATTTTTGGTGACTAAATCTTTTCTGAATCTAATGGAAAAAAACCACAACATGATCTATCAGGCTTCTAATAGCCGACAAACCATGCAAAAAGACTTGTCAAACGGCCCCATTGTTGAAAACAGTCATATGCAATGTGATGCCACCCTACGATATTCAATTGCCAAATTTAAAAATAGATATTTTTTGATAATTATCTCATTATTACAAGCAAAATAACATCTATATGCAGATCTAATGGTTTTAGAAGCATCGAACAATTTTACATGAAAAAGAAGTATAGAACAAAAACAAAAGAATCTTTGATTTGGAGGTAGGGTTTATGGGTATTTGATTTTATATATCCATATTTTGCTAGTATGAGATGGTTGCATCAGAATAATCTTTGCAATGCTATCATTGGTAGAAACTTTTATGACCTCTAGAACTCAAAATAGTCTTAACCCAATAGAAAATTGGCATTGAAACTGATGGAGGCCCATCTCAAGGCCCACCTCCTCATATAGGAGGCAATGAAAGAGATAAGAGGCACACGCAGGATAAGGATAAATCAAGAGTCCAAGATAATTCAAGAATTCAAGATAAATCAAGAATCCAAGATAATCCAAGAATTCAAGATAAATCAAGAATTCAAGAAGTCCAAGATCCAAGGTAATTCCAAGGAAGCAAGATAACTCATGCATGGATAGACCCAGGGAGATCGGACGGTGGAGATCAAGGCAACATCCAAGAAGAGCTCGATCCTAGTTAGAAGATTAGATGTTCATGATCTATCACAATTTTTCTTTCCTAGTTACTCTACAATTTCCAGATGTACTATAAATATTGTTATTTCCAAGCTAATAGACACAATTAAGTTTTCACCAACTTTTCTCTCTCCTCTAAGAGATTCACGAATAGCTTCGCTACGAAGCTGGTGTTCGCCCGGTGCTTGCATAGCCAGCCCGGTTTAGTGCTTCTACGCTGCATCAGGTGGTATCAGAGCAGGGAGTTCGCCCAGTCAGATGGCCAACCTAGATGGTAGCAGTCGTAACCAACCCCGTGATGGAGATCAGGGGTTACAAGCTGTTTGGAGAGCAATCGAAGAGCAGCGCACGGCCACACGTAACATTGAACAGCAGTTGCAGAAATCGCTGGATAACTGTGGACCTTGTTACGGGAGGACGTTCTCAGGAACCAGGAGAACCCATACCCAATCGAAGGAGACGATCATGTCAATCTTGTACCCCGACATCCTGTTCTCGATGATGATAGTGACGGCGAGTTCGAGTTCGGTGTTGCTCCAGTTATTCCCGACGACGGTAGAAACAACAGGAACTGGCACAATCCAGGTAATTTCAATCCCCGTCGGAATAATGATGAATTTAAACTCAAGGTAGATATTCCTACTTTTAGTGGGGATCTGGATATAGAGGGCATTCTAGATTGGATCACAGAGGTCGACTGTTTCTTTGAATACATGGAGATCCCGGAAGAACGAAGGGTGAAATTGGTAGTCTTTCGACTGAAGGGAGGCACATCTGTCTGGTGGGAACGGATGAGAGAAACCCGGATCAGAGAAGGAAGAGGTCTTGTTCGAACCTGGAGGTGCATGAAACAACTTATAAGAGGTAGATTTTTACCCCCAGATTATGAACAATATATGTTTGAATCATATCAAGGATGTGCGCAGGGTTCAAGGAGTGTTAATGAATATACATCTGAATTTCTAAGATTGGCTGGACGAAATCAGCTATCTGAAAGTGATAACCAGCAGGCAGCCCGTTATCTGAGAGGTTTGAGACCAGCTATCAGAGATAAAATTGGCGTCTAGATGGTTCTTAGTGTGCAGGAAGCAAGGAACCTAGTTTTAAAAGCTGAATTAAGGTTCCAAGAAAAGACCTGTGGTGATAATTACCACCGGTACAATGGGAGCGACAACAGACCGGTAGCTGTCGACAGAAACAAATTAGCTCCAGGAGTACAACCTTCTCTCCCAGCGACTACAGCTAACGCCGGTAAGGCCATCAGGGGAGGAAATACTCGAGGTGACCCTTCCAACCCTCCTAAACCCAGTAATCCCTATGCAAAACCTGCTCCTTTTAAATGCTTTAAGTGCAATGAAGTTGGGCATAGGTGCAGTGACTATCCCAGAAGGAAGGCAGTTAATATGATAGAGAGGGAGGAGGAAGAAGATGTTGAAGAGGAAGTATATTGTAGACTTGATGGGGAGGATGAAGAAGGTCCATACGAACATGAAGAATATACATGTGTTGTGAGAAAATTAATGTTGTTCCAAAGAAATAAAGATACCACTCAATGACACCGACTGTTCCGTACTAGATGTACTGTCAATGGTAAATTATTTGATTTAATTATTGATAGTGGCAGCCAAGAAAATATTATTTGCAGGGATGTGATACAAAAATTACAACTACTTCATGAAAAACATCCAAACCCATACACAATTGGGTGGATCAAGGAAGGCGGCGGCGTACGGGTGAAGGAACGCTGCAAGGTCCCATTCTCCATTGGTAAGTACAATGATGAGGTATATTGTGATATTATAGACATGGATGTTTGCCATATTTTTCTAGGGAGGCCTTGGCAGTTTGATACAGATGCAAGACACATGGGTAGGAAGAATACCTACCAACTTGAAAAAGAGGGTATACACTACACTTTATTACCCATGGCTGAAAAGAATTCCGCAAAGGCCCCAAGAACAGATGAGAACAATTTCCTTACTATTACACATCATCATGCTGAATTTATGAAAGAATGTAAGGATACCCGCGAGGTACACTTGTTGGTAGTAAAGGGGGAAAGTATGAAGGGGGCACTAAAAGAAAATAAAATTCTAGTGGAAGTGCAGGGACTAGTTGATGAGTTCCATGATGTACTTCCAGATGAGTTACCAAATGAACTCCCACCCATGCAAGATATACAACATCACATTGATTTTGTTCCAGGTGCTAGTCTCCCTAACCTCCCACATTACAGGATGAGTCCTAAAGAAAATGAAATTCTACGAAAGAAGGTAGAATAATTGTTGAAAAAGGGGCATATTCAAATCAGTATGAGCCCTTGTGCAGTACCAGCATTGTTAAGACCAAAGAATGATGGAAGTTGGAGGATGTGTGTCGATAGCAAGGCTATTAATAAAATTACTATTGGCTACAAATTCCCCATTCCCAGGCTGGACGACATGCTAGATCAGCTTAATGGAGCCGTAGTATTCTCTAAAATCAATCTCAGGAGTGGATACCATCAGATCAGAATCCGTCCTGGAGACAAATGTAAGACAACCTTCAAAACTAGAGATGGATTGTTCGAATGGTTAGTCATGCCCTTTGGACTAACCAATGCACCCAGCACATTCATGAGGTTAATGAATCAGGTACTGCGTCCCTTTACTGGTAAATTTATTGTGGTATATTTTGATGATATTTTAATTTACAGCAAATCTATCACTGAGCACATTGGACATATCAAGGAGGTATTAAAAACATTAAGGGAAAACAAATTATATGCTAATTTAAAGAAATGCATTTTCATGAGCGATAATTTGTGGGATTCATTGTAAGTAAGGATAGAATCAAAGTAGATGAAGAAAAGGTGAAAGCCATTAGGGAGTGGCCGACCCCATCAAATGTCACGGATGTAAGACGCTTCCATGGGTTAGCAACTTTCTACAGGCGATTTATCAAACATTTTAGTAGTATTGTAGCTCCCATCACTGAGTGTTTGAAAAAGGGGAAGTTTCAATGGGGAGAAGAACAAGAGCAGAGTTTTGCTCTCATAAAAGAAAAATTATGCACTGTTCTTGTCCTTGCCTTACCAAATTTTGATAAATTATTTGAAGTTGAATGTGATGCCAGTGGAGTTGGCATAGGGGCTGTATTGTCACAAGAAAAGAGACCCATTGCCTTCTTTAGTGAAAAATTATGAGAATCCAGGAGAAAGTGGTCCACATATGTCAAAAAATTCTATGTTGTGGTTAGAGCATTGAAAACATGGGAACACTATTTAATTGTAAAAGAGTTTGTTCTTTACACTGACCACCAAGCCCTAAAGTATCTCAGTAAGCAAAAACAATTAAGGAGTGATCTGCATGCAAGATGGTCTGCTTTCCTTGATAAATTTCCATACAAATTTGTGTATAAGGCTGGACAACAAAATACAGTGGCCGATGCTCTTAGCAGACGTGTAGCCCTCATCAAGACCCTCAGTATTGAGATTGTGGGTTTTGAATGCTTGAAAGACCTATACGCCCAGGATGAGGACTTCCAACAGGTATGGGAAAGGTGTGTGAATCGACAACCAGCAAATAATTTTTACATTCATAATGGATTCCTTATGAAAGGGGAACAACTGTTCACCCCTTGCACCTCCCTCTGTGAAAGATCATTAGGGATCTGCATGGGGGTGGATTAGCAGGACACTTTGGGAGGGACAAGACAATGGAGGCAGTCAAGGGGCGTTACTACTGGCCGAAATTAAGAAGGGATGTGTCCACTATTGTGAGTAGATGCTATATTTGTCAGACAGCTAAGGGACAGACCCAGAATACTGGTCTCTACATGCCTCTACCCGTTCCTACTACAATTTGGGAAGACTTGTCCATGAATTTCGTGCTAGGCTTGCCAAAAACCCCAAGAAATATGGACTCCGTCTTCGTAGTGGTTGACAGGTTCTCTAAGATGACCCACTTCCTCCCATGCAAGAAGACAACAGATGCATCAGTGACAGCCAAGTTATTTTTCAGGGAGATTGTCTGTTTACATGGGGTACCTAAGACTATAACATAAGATCGAGATACAA